CATGGGTCTCAGGGTTATTCCTATCGTGGGGAGGGAGGGAGGGAGGGGGGGTTCTCCCCATTTTTAGATAGTGTCTATTCCTTTTGTGTTAGGGTGTGTGAGTTCACTGAGGAATGTTTAAAAAAAAAAATATATATATATAAAAAAAAATAATGAATATCACACTGGATCCTGATTGGACGGCGCTGGGTGCAGGTGCCGGGTCTGGGCCGGGCCTGCTTTCCGGAAAGCTCCGGGGCCCCCGTCCCAGGCTGCATCGCACGCGGGCCGGCTAATGGAGGCTCCGTCTCAGGCCTGATAAATAATGTAAGGTCTTCATAATATCTGGTCCCGCGGGGACAGCGCAGAGAGCATCATTATCCCCCGCCCCCCCAATCCCGCTGGAGGTCCTAAATTGATTAAACGCACTGAGGCAGGGGAAAATGATACATTGGATGCATCGGCGGGTCGGCGTGTCAAAGGCGTGCGATCATAGCGCATTAGACTGGCGGGGGATGGGGCATCATTATGCTCCCCAGCCCACTGTATGCCCTTTGGGGGGGGGGGGCTGAGAGTATCAGCCTTGCTCTCTCTCTTTTTTTTTTTTATTTAAATTTTTCGTCATTTAAATCTGTTGGGGTCACGCTGCCATACTTTGGCTCATAAAGCTTTAAATATTTATTGCATTTAAGGAAAACAGACTGGGTAGCATTACATGTTTGATTATAATTTGCCCTGAAACGGTGATATATATATCCGCCTTCCGCTGATCCTCCCTGTTCGGCGAGAGGCCCGGCAACATGGTGTCGCGTTTCCACCTTGAAGTGGAGCGTGTCACACCGCTTGTGATTGTGGGGGGGCTTCGAACTGTGTTCGATCTCCCCGCATTGCCCTGCCCCCCCCCCCCCACGACCGCTCCCCTGCAGAAAGGGTCATGTGACCTTTTGCGGCCGCACCTGGGGGGTGCCCCCCCCCTGACCCAGATGTCCGCTTAAGCAGAATCCGTCCCGCCTGCCACTGTGATGAAAAACCGGGAGCTGGTTTATTTAGTTATTTCCCACATCCGTCTTTGGATCCGCGGGCCCCATTGCTCCGAGCTTGATGGCCGACCCATGGAGAGCCCAGTTCTAGAGGCGTACTGTCTGAACATGTGTCTCGGATCCTTGGGAATGGAGATCGTAGCCTCCTGCCAGTCCGTCTTTGGCTATGTGTTTCAGAACCGGTCAGATGTCATTTAGGCTCGTTATTCAGGGCATTGATTCCACAAGAACCTTTCTGCTGGCAGTCTGATCGCGGCACATGAGTGCCCTGTGGGTGGCACATGACTGCCCTGTGGGCGGGGCTTCCAGCGGGAATGCGATGAAGTCATTTCTGCCGAGTTCCCCTCCATCACCTCCGCAGATGTATCTGTCCTCTGATGCGAGGAAATGTGCCGCGTACCCAATTGTTTCAGCGCCGCACCTGTAGTGGACCCCACCCCACCGGCGGGGGGGAGGGGGGGTGGCGACTAGGAGGCGGGGGGAAGGGGGTGTAGCTGCTGGGACAGAGGGTTTTATTTTGGGGCCTTTGAAAAAGAGATTAACCCCTCATGCAAACAATGCTGGGGGCGGCACCAGAGGGTGCAGAGGTCGAGCGAAGGATGTCGTTGTTACCCCCCCCCCCCGAAAGATTTCCTTTGACGTGTCCTTGCAACATGCCACCCACAGAAATGAGTGACTGAAATGAGGGAGGGTCAAGGAGCAAAAAGTATGAGAACGGCCACGTAAACAGCACCTACTTTAATTTACAATAAACAGTTTATTATAACGTACATGGGAGCTGGGGGGTGGTGGTGGTGGTGGAGCTGGTGGGGGGGGCCTGGCTTTTTTTCGCCGAGCGGCAGGCTGAAAATAATTCCCCAGGAGAAAAGCGATGCTTGGTAATGTTTGTGCTTCTCGTAAGAGGAAATCTCATCCGCCACGCCGCTTACTGTCAGGGGTGATTCTTGGTGACTCACGGCCGTTAAAAAAAGACGGCCGCATGTGATTTTTTTTTTTTTCCTTTTTCATCCTGTGTGGAGGAGAAGCCAGTGGCCATATGTCACCGGGGAGGTTGGGGGGTTGCTGTAATATTACGGTGAACTTGCTGTCCCATCACCGTGGTTTTTGGCTTCCGATTGGGACAAGATAAAAGTTGGGAGGGGTGGACACCATTGGCCCCCACACAAAGCTGACGTGTGTGTGTGTGTGTATGTGTGTGTGTCTCGGGTAAGTGAACCAAGATGGCGGCTTCCTCCACAAGGGAGCTGGAGGGTCTTGGCATGGCTGTGGGGAGATGGAGCATTACAGAATGACAGAGCCCCCTCCCTCAGCTTCTCTCAGCCAGTAGAAAAAAAAAACTGAAATCTTTGATATGCTTATTAAGTGGGAAAAAATTTAAGTTATGATGAGTCCTAGAGGAATTCCATTCGCTGGAAAAAGATTCACCTTTCAGCTTTGGATTGACTCCGTCTGTTTTGGTCATTCCACGTTTTGTGGACGTATGTTTTTGGATCAAACATTCAAATGAAAACCTGATATTGCTTTGAGAATTCCATCTGCTCTCTATGCTCAGGGATGTGACCCGCTGCCTGATGTGTAATTCCCAGAAGCCGTTTCTGAAATGACACCAGGGGTCCCGTTAGAGGCTGGAATGTTCTGTCAGCTTCTTGGGGTATCTTTGGTTCCATGTGGGACGGCTTCACCAGCTCACGTCCAGAGTGCTTTTTGTTCCCGGTCCCCTCCCCCTTCAGGAGGCATGTGGAGCAGAGTTCACACCACACGACTGACACTCACACGACTGACACTCACACGACTGACACTCACACGACTGACACTCACACGACTGACACTCACACGACTGACACTCACACGACTGACACTCACTCGCTCGCTCTCTCTCTCTCTTGCAGGTGTGAGTTCTTGTGGCGATCATCCCCGAGGAGCAAGGACAGCGCCCCCCTCCCTCCCCACAGTTTTCCCGCCTGCACCTCCCCCTGTCAGAGCATAG